CTGTGGTAGGATTCCTTTCTTTTATTTGGTTTTATTTGCGCATACCTAGCTCCACGTTACGTTCGCTGTTTATAAATACTTTAATTTTATTTACACCATCAGTTTTCCGCTCAGTACGTTTGGTCTTATTCTTTTTTATAATTCGCCTCCATTAGAGCAAGCCGTTTTTTGTTCAGATTTGTAGGCTGATGACTGCTCTTACAGTCGATTATTTTCCCCTTGAAATGAATGTTGCTTCTGATCGCCTTAGGCTAAAAATAGGACTACCTCTGCCGAATGAAGGGGCATGGTTGTTTATTTCCTTATGTTTGGCTTTTAGAACAATGAGGCGTGAAGAAGTACTGGCGTGTTCATTCGATGCTTGGTACCCACGTTTTCGGGACTTTACGATTAAAAGGCATCTCAAATTTATTAATTATTCCGTAGTGTTATCATGGATCTTCCTGAGGAAATTCTTGATTACCTAAAAAACGCTCCATTGGTTCTTCCGAAGAAGTAGGGTCTTTAATAATCAAACAGGAAGTTTTAGTGCTCACACCGTCAAAGCTGAACACGACGAGTTTTCGAACGACTCTGAAGATGTACGGCATTTGTTCGATTTTCTAATCGTTCCATGTTTCGAGAATCTATAACCTTTTCTTCTATCGAAATTCAGGAATCTTGGTCAAATGATGGGTCTGATGATGAGCTAGAAGCAACAACATTTCCAGATTTTGAAGCCAAAGTCAACGAGACTATCGCTTCTCTCGGTGGAGCCGTCTTTCCAAAACTAAATTGGAGTGCTCCGAAGGACGCAGCCTGGATTAACTTTGGCTCTACACTTAGATGCACGTCTGCAACCGATCTCCTCGTTCTTCTAAAGGCTTCGGATTTTATCTCTCATGACATCTACGCTCCGTACGTGGTGCCACTTCGTCTGTATTTGAAAAACCAGGTTTGCATTTTGTACAGATGTCAATGACGATGAACCACGGCATCCGTTGAAGTTGGTTCTGCGAGCTTGGCGTCAAATCCGTCCTGACGGTGAACTTCGGTGCTTCATCAGAAGCAACCAACTCTATGGTACGCGAATAACTGGCGACAATCTCTTATTTCGAGCCGTATAGCTATTTGCCAACGACACTACGATTCGTACTTCACTTTTATTGAAACGGAACAGGCTAACATAAAGCGGGTCATTTCCGACTTTTTTGACAGGAATGTCAGAGGAAATTTCCCTTTGAACGATTGTAAGTTATCAACGCTACTGATTCTCTCGTAGATGTAATGGACGTATACGTCGGACATAAGGTAAGGTCTCTTGATCTCTGTTGCTTCCCAAAAGTTTGGATCATCACGTTGTGTCAGGGTGATCGATTTCAATGTCTATGGTCCTCCCACGGACGGTCTGATGTTTAATTGGTCGGAGCTTAGACTTCTTCGGCATGACAAGGTGAGTAATGGGTGGGAGGAAGGGTCTGATCCGATCGGTTTTTTTTCAAATTACCACCCACCTAAGGGTTGATTTCGTACATGGAATCCAGATCCGGTTTTATAAGTTGATAAGTACTTTTGAACCATCTCCGAGTAACTATTCCGCTGCCCTCGCAATGGGACAATTTTTGGACGGAGAACTGTCACGATTAACACATCTATGGGTTATACTTTGACACCGTCCATTAGACTGCTGGGTTTTTGAATGAGCCATCAGCATTGCGTCCTGTCACAGCGATGAACGGTGATTGGGTTGGTCCACGACGAAGTGCGTGTCAATAGTTGCTGGCAGTAAAACCCACCATCTGTGTTGGGCAGATGTAAAACCAAAGTTTTACATTGACCTGGGCACTTCCTTTTCAGGAGGTACATTTCCGTTGGCAAAGTGATAAGACGATGCGCTCCAGTGTGTTCTCCCAATACAAATTGCCGATAGATTTGGTGGATATTTCATCTGGTGACGACCCCGAAAAGTTGCTCGATTTGATTAAAGCAGTAAGGAGATTGACGTCATTTCTGTTTGGCGTTTTCCTAGTCTTATTTTGCTTTCTTTTTTAGCATGTTGAAGAACAAAAGAATGGATAGGTATAAAAATGCGCTTTTATCTCTTTCACGTGATCAAGGGAGTGCTCATTGGCACCGATCTATTTGTCATGTCAAATTACCACGATTGTAGTTCACTAGAGGGTAACTAAGCTATCGACGGCGCAAAATTTGCAGTAGTCTGAGGGTCCATTTGACGTCGCAGGCAGTGTTCCCCGACAGATCTGCATTCAGATCTGAAGAAGGAAGAGGAAGTGCGGAGGTTACCACTAATTTTCAGACCTGTATAACTAGGCTCTCGGATTTCACTCCTTGGTCCACGCTAGTCCCCATCATCAGCTGTCGGTAACGGCAAGGCGGTTGACCACTGTTAGGCATTCTCATGAAATGATGAAATTTTACTTGGGCACTTTTTATGTACAGTCATTACACTTCGGCATTCAAAAACCAGTCATCTTGGTCTTATAAATACAATCATTGGACTTCTACACTTCTTTCCTCTCTCTCAACTGATGCGGTAGTAGGATGAGCTCTGCATGTTGCATCGTCATAGCGAGCCGTGAGTTCTCTTAACCAAGGAGAGATCTGTTTGGTGCGTTTTTTGCCGGCGGAGGTGCGAAACGATGCATGTGTTATAGGTTTGAAGAGGCATGTGGCTTCAGTGCGAGCCAATACGAGACGTCTTTCTGCTGGAGGAATGGACGAAAGAGACTCCAGTGTGTGGTCCGGAGCCGCTATCACCTCGTTTGTTGGCCTCGGTGCTCTGTCTTTTAGTACTTGACGTGCCCACTTCAGTATAAGTGTGATTATTTTTCGGATCTGTGGAAAGAATAGTTAAAGAATGATCATGAGAGGAAACAACTCCGAAATTTTGCTTTGGCCTGATTAGTAAAGCTAAGACCCGTGACAAGGGGGATTCCCAATGATTACTCCTGATATAAGCTTTCTACACCACAGAATTGGTGAAGGGCGGTGGCGTTCTCCAAAACCACGCCAAACTCATCTACAATTTGTGTTAGAGGATGGTATTCTTTATCTCTCAAGCGGGTAAATGCACCCAGAGCATGACGAAAATGGGTGAATGGTGCTAGAAGCCCCGTATTCGTCAAAACCAACGAAATGGACAGATGTAATAGGTGAGTCATATGAGAGAGGTGATCACGAAGATATCGAAGGAAGGCGCCTTCGATGGGAGAATTTCCCCATCCCCGAGAGCTCTGATCGCATCTTGATAGCGACATTATTCGTAATGATGGATCACCACATCCCTCAATAAATAGGAATTGGAGGGAACATGGTGCTGAGTGTGTTTCGACTTACTATGATGTTGTGAACCGCCCCAAGCGC